TACCAACTGATTTCAAGGGTTCGTGCAAGGTATTCAAAAAAGCGCTGTCTCCCTTGAGCGCCTCTTAGGAGATAATCTGGATAGCTCCCTTGTTGCACCGTTGCGAATGCGGTCCAAACACGTGATTCCAGTTGATAGGGGCTTACTTTTTTTGGGAATTCACGAGCCGTGCTCATTAGATCAAGTCAACTTTTTCGATGGCATGACCCAAATCGGGACAGGGTCGGGAAATCGTTTTTTTCTTCTCGCTGCATGTTTCAGTTCAGCTGTTTTCAAGAGATTTAATTGTTGTGTAGCATTTAAGCAAGTGATGGTCTGCGTGTCGGCCTTGCTCACAGTGCCGTTTCTGGTGACCGATAGCCTTTGCGCTGGCGACAGCAGCGGTAAGTCGAGTTAACTTCTCTACCGCATTTTGACTTCATCTCAACCGTTTGCCTAGACTACGAAATTCAGCGAAACTCTTGAATGAGTTGATCAGTTCAACATTCGTCGTCAGTGGTCTCTCCACAATCATCCAAACAATGGTCGGAATGCGGTGAATTTTGTATCATTCCTGCCTCTTAGCATTTATTGAAGAAACATTATCGCGATATTAAATTATCAATAAAAGAGCTCCGACTATCTTTTCAATCAGAGTTCGAAGATTTGATGGGTCATAAAGCATCCTCCCCTTCCTTCCTTCCTCCCCTTTTCCTTCCCTTCCCTCCTCCTCCTCTACCCGACCCACCCCACGTTACCTCGCGGACAGTTTCATCAATGCCTGAAGTTCTTGGTTGTCTGAATGTGAAACGACCGGCTTCCTGTCCTGGAAATTTACCAGAACAACACTAAACCTATATAAAATTTTACCCCACAGCGTCATTTCATAGCTAACCAAATTTGGGGTTAAAAAAGTGGTTAGGCGGAGACAGATGCCCGTAGGTGAGAAAGGGAAGGAAAGCAGATTTATAGTGGTGATAATGGTTTTAGGGGTGAATGACAACGTGATCTATTTACTCACCGCGCGTTTGACGGGGCATCGTGGTGTTGGCTTATTTAGGGGTATATTGAGTGGAGAGGTTGAACTCCATGAGATTTTAGCGTGCTACATTTTAATGCTTCGGTTCCTAGCTCTCTCAGAAGTTTTTAATGACGAGCGCGGCTTGCCAGCCATCCCTTTCACGAGTGCCCCACATTTCCATTCCGTGTGGATAAAACAGTCCATGTTTTCTTTAACCGATAAGAATTTCAGCTACTTAAAGGCACAGTTCACGATTATTTTGAGGTACCTGTTTTTATGCGAAAAGCGGAACTATAGATTGGGAAGATTGGGAATAGTTAATCGGTAGTGAAGAAAGCGAGGGAATTTGCCGAATTCGACAAAGATGGCTCCACAAAAGTAGTAAAAATAGAGGTTGGACGAGATTGCCATGACGGAAATAACATGGAAGGGGTATTCGAACGAGATTTCAGTCATTGCAATTGCACAGAGAGCTGATTACATTAAGCCAGAACTGTACAGAATTGTCTTTCACTGTCACTATGGGTCATGAAGAGTTGTTTGAACTTCCTATATGGGCTCCCTTGTGATCGCCTCTAGAATGCCGGTGAAGCTCGTCCGAGGGAACACACGAGCCAATCTTTGAGCCTTTATAACTCCTAACTAGGCCGTTTTCCGACCTAATAGTGCCAGATATGGTATACGTGGGAGCCTCAAATTCATCCTGTGTGGTAATCTCAGGAGCCACTTTTATCGTGAGCTGTGCCTTTAAAGTGCTTCCGAGCGTGAGACACGTTGCCTTGTTCCAGTGTATCGAGGATATGAAAACCTGTAGCTTTCATGGGCGTGCTTTCAAACTTTTATTTAAAGGTTGGCACTCCTCCAAGGAACTGCCTTCGCCTATGTACCGTCCGTTCAAGTATTTATGGGCAAATGTATGGTCAACAGCACTACATATGTTCCTGAACATGAATATTATGGAAGACTGGCACTTGTACGTCATTTGAAGTGACTTTCGTTTTTATATTTGTTTACCAATAAAAGGAATGCCACATTCAGGTAAGGGCCTGTTCAAATTCGATTTTCAAAGTTTTCCAGCAAGGCCGAAAAGCACAAATGTTTATCCATCACCTTAACGAAGCAATGTCTGATTAGGAGCATTAAAGTAAAGACAAAGTTATTTTTTTAATGTGGTATTGGGATTGTTAGTCTGCACTATCGAGCGATTACTTTATGCACCACTTGCTATTACCCCATATACCATGGCAGGGAATACTTAAAGGCACCGTTCACGATAAAAAAGTTATTAAGTACTTACCTTATTAATACTCAGCGGCTTCCATGGGTTGTAAAAAGGACCCTCTCACTCCCCCAATCTCGACGTCCAGGGCATTGTGGCAGCTCCGTTGTTGCCGAAGTTCGCGTGTCCGCCCTTCGATCGGTGTCACGTTAGACGAGTGTCGAGACAATACAGATTGCTATTATTCGTTCTAGGACCGTCCACAATCAGCTAATCGCCGAGTGATGAGGCGATGTTTTTCTCCCATTCTTTTTCCCTCTGTTTTTCTTTTTGCTGCCGCGATCCCTTATTTAATTTTCTACTCCTAGAGGCTGAAAAAGGTGAGCTACTTTTGCCGTTACTAGGGGTTTTTTGTTGATTCATGCTTATAAGTGAATGAGTTTTTTACTTGCCATTTCTGTTATTCGCACCAGTACCCACACGTGCGCAGTGAAACACACTGTTTAGCTCGTCCGAACGCCCTACTCTTCTTCATTTTCCTGGTTTCATTCACGTCCAGCCCCCTTTTTAACGGTTTTTCGAAGCCTATTTCACTTTGGAAACACCGATGCACGCAGTTTCTTCACCTCAGTCGCACTAGTTTCGATCTTGTCTTCCATTTTTCATCATAATCTGGATTATCCAAAACTATCGTGAACTGTGTCTTCAGAGGAAGCTCCAGAAGCTTTAGCGGTACACATATGCATATACAGTATTTTGAGCTTGAGTCGTTTCGAATTGATCCGGGCTGAGAACGCTTTATCATTCTTCAAACTCAACTCCCCCTTTTCACTATAAAGATCGTTAGGGCATTTCTGAACTTTCGAAGCATCGATAATTACCACCTAAGCTTGCTGATGGGGATATGGAGGGGACGAATCTCACAAGCGCGGTAACAACTTGTTATCCGACTAATGGAAGAACAGTGTTGCCGTTGGTGCTATCAATTTCCTGGACTCCTTGAAAGCATTCAGTAACTGCTATTCAACAAATTTAACATTTTTTTGCGATCATACATTTTTCTACATTATTTTGAGAGGTTCGCTGAGTTTCGAAGGTCATAGAAACTCGAGCTCTGCGAGTTTCCTGATCCGCCATAAATTTACAATACTGTTTATGAGCCCAGAAATCCTCCCAAACATCCTCAGTCGACTAATTGAATTTTTTCCAGATGCAAGGATGTCTTATGGCGTCCGCTCTCGTTCCAATACTCATCGGATTCACTGGGATTGTCGGAGTGCTCACTAAATTTATTGGACCACTTACGGTATAGTGATATTTGCCATCTTGAACTCCTTTTTTGAATCCACCTCTAATNTTCCTCCTCAGTCGACTAATTGAATTTTTTCCAGATGCAAGGATGTCTTATGGCGTCCGCTCTCGTTCCAATACTCATCGGATTCACTGGGATTGTCGGAGTGCTCACTAAATTTATTGGACCACTTACGGTATAGTGACCTTCCCCATCTTTTATTCCTTTTTTGAATCCACCATTAATATCCTTTCTTAGGTATCACCTCTTATGCTTTTGTTGGCATTTTCGCAAGTCAATACAATGGTTGATAAGATCAGTCTCCATTGGGTAGCCATTATGTAAGTAATCTTCTTAGTACGATGATTCGAAGTTTAAAAGACCGGGTTTTTTATCGCTGGTCAACCCGGCCATGTTACGCTCACCACACAAATTCCTCTCAGAAACGTAGTAATGTCTGAGTACGTGATTCGCCTACACTCGCTGCGACCAGATAATGAATGTACAGTTCAGTTTTCGTGCTCCAGGCCATCATGGAGTTTTCGTGGTCCACGACAAGCCGTGTAAACGGTTTCATACCCTTAATCACCAAACTACTCACAGCAATCTGATATTGTATTCTTTGGAAAAGGAAGAATTAGTACGAAGAAACTGATGCTTAGGAAAATTTTCAGAAAAAGTTAATGATTTTTCAACATGGATTATTTCAATGAGTGAAAGAGACTGCGACAGTTTCGAAACCGAAAATTCTTTACTGAAATTCAATACCCAAGTATCTCAGCATCCAAAGACACTGCATCCCATTCCATGCCTCCGCCTCTAAAAATCAGGAAACTAAAGCCGTTTAATTTTGTCCTCTCAACAAGAGGTACGTTGAAGAAACGTGCAGCATTGTAGGAGGGTCATATCGCTCCCTACCTCTTCAAAAATTGTATGGAAGAGGTTAGAGATTAGCCATTGGGGACAGACTTCCGGATTTGCCTATTCCACGGTGATCATACATTGATTGGTGACAGTTTACGAAAGCTCTTTCCGGAGAATCCATGAAGGGTGGGAAGAGAACGTTCCCGGCGTTGATCACCGTTTAAAACGCCCTTATGCATATCATATTTGGGCTGTTCAATGGTTTGCAAGACCGACTTACTCAGGAGTGAACATCGTGGGCCACCCCTCACCTGAGCCTTGTACCAGTCAGGTCATCCAGATGAGATAGAAAGCTTGTTTGAAATGGAGTGGCGTGATTTTAGATTTTATTCAAAATTAGGTAAAGATTGTATTTGAACTTGCTGAATACTGTTGTTTTCCAGCCAGGCTATAACACTGTTCATAACAATTCTCTATCTCGCCGACGTTCTCGTTCCGTTACCCGGCATCAAATACGGCAAATTGCACTGGTACCGAACTAATTTGTTCGGACAGTATCCGGTTGGTTTTCTTCTTTCTAATCATTATAATGCTGACTTTCAAATTGGCCAGTATTGACTAAAAAAGGATATTTCGTGGGGTTTCAATTCCATAGCATGAAATTAGTGATGTCATGGAGGTTTTGTGAACTTCTGCTGGTACATCCCACACCAACTGTGTCACATATGTCACCTGTCCCGATGTTCTTCGATTTCCTCGAGCACCAGTAACGTCTCCATTCGCCCCTGTCGCGAGCCAGGGTGGTTCAGCGGATCGTCCTCGCTCGACGCAGTTGCCACATGAGGCACTTGCAGCAGGTTTCCCATCTCTAAGCAGACACACAAGCAGATATAATGAGAAATAAAATGAATTCGTTAGGCTTGCTGGAGCCATGGGTTTCTGCAAGGATCATATCCATCGAATACTGTAAATAATCATCGATAAACAATTAGAAAATTGCTTGACACCATGACGTAGACTCACCGGTAATTATGTACTTGCTATCTCCGCCAAAGCGTCGATATTGGAACTTCTTTTGTAAGACCACTTTCCTTGGTGTAAAGCTTCACCTGATCTATAGGCTATAGCAAAGAGATTGCGAATTGGTCAAATGCTCAGTCGTGAGTCAACAATAACAACCAACCTACTCAAAATATATATATATCAACCAGCCCAATCCTGAGCGTAAAAAATAATTTCATTGTGAAATATTTGATGAAGTATTTCTGATTATGAAAACAGCTCCAATTTTCTAATTGAAAGCTTTCTAATTGAAAGTAATCCTATTGAGATCAGTGATCGATGCATTTTTACGGCTCTTGACAGTTTTATCTTAATTGCAGTATTTGATCGCGATCGTAATCTCGTGGGCCTTCTGCCTATTCCTGACCGTATGCAATCTCGCCGAAGAAGGCGGTCCAGCACGAGTTGACATTCCCCACAAAGTGAACGCGATCCGGAATTCCGCCTGGCTAGCCATACCATATCCGGGTATGTTTGTTTTCGGTTAATTACGTGAAAAATCATAAAAATTTTGACCAAGTAAATACATGTTCTGAGAATAGAAGGAACGTGATATCAGTGCGATGCGACCATACTTCCATAACCCTCCCCCTGCCTGACTGTCCTCCCTGAAACTCTTGTAGAACGAAAGTGTATCCACTGTCTCGTAGTGTGAGATGAGACGAAATGTCTGTGCCGATATCAACTGCTACAGGAGCAAAATGTTGGGTATCTCCAGCATACGACTGGAGGAATTCACGCTATTCACTTATAGTTACCTATTGTGGAAATGGAGATTCACAAGTAGGCACCAAGTAATGAGGTTATCACAAAAGCTAGGGGGTAAGATAAAAGGATAAAGCCTCCGGGTAGTGATCAATTACGCCTTAGGGATGAAGCGATGGAATTCCTTGCAGAATCGTAGTTTCGTAATGAGTGTGTATGTGACCTATGTATACAACTGCTTGCGGTGGTCAGCCGATGTACAAGTCAATGCTTTTAACCTCCCGGACGAGTATGGTATCAGTTTACCGACCCCGGAGGGATGGAAGGCTTAGTTGGTCGAGGCGGATGAAAGATACCTGCTGATTTCACTACAAGGAATAATCTAGAGCAGTAATATATGGCGAGTCCCCTTCCCACCCTCCCATCCGACTGTAGACAAAATGTTTGCTACGAAGGGTTATGTGTAGTAGCATAGGATGACTGCTGAATGCTGGGCTCATGCTACTGACGACACGAATTCTCGTACAACTTACAACCAAACTCCAATGGTCTCCCTCTGAGAAGCTTATACCCGACATGATTTTTTGCTCAATTACCTAGCCGATCCTTGCGCTTCTCCACGACGTACGGGGCTCGTGATCTTAATTTTTTCACAAAGTTTCATGAGTCATTCTAGTCGGAGTTTGTAGGGGTTTCTTCCAATCTTTATGGTAAGCTGGTAATGATTATAGAAGGAGCAGTTTCCCGCTTCTCCTAGCAGAAACTCTGCCTTTCAGTGGTGCTCTGCCCTGCTGTCACTGGTCGCGAATTCCATGAGTCCCTTACTTTGAAGGTAGCCGACTAAAATCTCAAATGAATGAAGGGTTATGAGGGTAACCTCGCATTAATGATATCGATATTGATTGAACGGTTCCGATCGATGTCGATTAGTTGTATAACTCTCGACCAAACATTAAAACTTTTTTCAGTTGAAAGGGGGTGTCTATTTCCATCCGGGTATAAGATAAAATATTAACTAGAGAATCGACTCGTCACAAAAAGGAGAGCGATCAGGCTGATATCTATTTTCATACATCATATGGCGAGTGTGTCTGCATATACGCCCATTTTCGGCAGAAAATAGTCAATTGGTGCTGCTCAGTTACAACTTGTGGCTAGGTATTTGAACAGAGCTCACTGATACCAGTCGCACGGCGTTAACTGACAGGTCAAGCTATGAGATGAGAAAATCGACTGAACTGTTTCGACAAACGTCAATGAACCCACACTATCCAGACATCGATTTTTCCGCAGAGCGTTGAACGCTTCTATCATTAAAGGCACCGTTCACGATTAAAAAGTTATTGAGTTCTTACCTTATTAATACTCAGCGGCCCCCATGGGT